CCTGCAGCTTTTATATTGACCTATCGAGATTGCCTTAGCCAAGGACTTTTAATCAATATAAACTAGGAACAAATGAGATATGTCCCCTTCAAATCACTTAAGGTGATGAATCTTCTTTGGACCATTCATTCATCTTCGTATGCTTCATGCCATGCCCAAAAGCACCCTGTTTAAGTATCTAGTCATCTCCAGACCCGTAGAGGTGGAATCAAAGCATGACAATTCACATACAAGATAACCTGGTACACAAGTCTAAGGATTACTTACACTACTGACACATGAGAGCATTTCTATAGACACTTGAGTGAAATACCAAATGGAACTCTCATAGCAGGTCATGTTCAGTGAACTTGTTCCATAACAAACACCCACATACTATCTCCAAGTATCTCACATACTTCAACCTATGAGATCAATTGCTTACTTCTAAAGTAAGGAGGCTTAATTTGTACTAGCCTTTGAGCATTGTCAATGCCTTTATTCTTGACAATACAATGACCAAGAACATATTTAGGAACAAGGCTTTGATACATAAGAATCTGATAATTATAACATTTATAATTTCTTTTGCAAGGCCATTATGTTCCAAGGACTTTATCTACATAAATCTCTCACAACTCTTTATAAATAAACTCATGGACAAATAAATACCTCATACATTATAGAAAATATCCATAATGTATTTAACATGAAATATGACTAATTAATATAGTGTTTTACAAGCACAAAATGGATTGGCTTGTAGGGCTTACACTAACAGCTACTACATATCATCCATAAACAAATGGACGTGCCAAAGCCTCCAATAGGAAAATCAAGAGAATTCTAGAGAAGGGTTTGTCCCCATCAAAAAAAGATTGGGTCAAAAGATTGGATGATGCACTTTGGGTATATAGGACTGCCTACAAAACTCCAATAGGTATGTCTCCTTATAAGTTGATTTTTAGAAAAGCATGTCACTTTTCGATGGAACTTGAATATAATGCCTATTGGGCTATTAAGAAGTTAAATTTTGATTTGGAAGTGGCTAGTGAGAGGCATTTGTTGCAACCAAACAAATTAGATGAGTTTAAATTGGAGGCCTATGAAAATGCCAAAATCTACAAGGAAAATAATAAAAAGCAACATGATAAAAAGATTGTTGAGCGTCGCTTTGAGCTAGGCCAACATGATTTGTTGTTTAACTCTCAATTGAAGCTATTTCCAAGCAAGTTAAAATCAAGGTGGAGCTTGTTGAAAATGTGTGATCTTTGAATCTTTGTATATTTTGTGATGAAAGTGAAAAGGATAAAAGTTTGTGAAAAAAAATGAAATTGAAAATCAGATTATAATTTAAAGGAAAGGAAAAGTAATAGGAGGGAAAGTTGGTTGTCATGGTGATCCATCTTATAAATAGAGGATATCAACCAACCTAACTAAAAAAATCACAATCTATGATGAAGCCATTCACTTGCAACAAGAACGGTGAAAGTTACTCAAATGAATATATGGAAGTTTATTTGAGAAGGGTTACTTTTGATTTTGGAAGCTTATTTTCAACTAAAAAGTATAATATAGTTTTTTACACCACTCAAACTTGTTACATTATTCATTGGAGTTTAACGACTTGAGACATACACATTTCAAAATTTTATTTCATTATGGGAAAGCTTTTTATAAAGTTGTCACATCTCAATTCTAGGGATATGACCAACACAACGGTCTATATGGGTATAGCCTACTATACCTAAACAACCTTTATATATCAAACATAATTACGTCATCATACATTATGGTAAAATCATCGTCATAATGTATGAATAAGCATTTCATATAATTGTCATAATCCATTTCACATATAGTTTCATATATCATTTCATGTAAACATAATATGCACTCTTCGATGCTCATAGTTTGCACATTTTGGTGCTCATATCATCCATGGCCTTAATACCATAGGTATCACAAATTGTCTACACCCCTTTCAGTGCTTAGCATAAACATCTCATAACATAAAGAAGTAATCATGAATATTGCCATCATTAGCTACATAACATATGTCTTAACATGATAAAGTAAACAACATAATGGACCCACTATCGAGTGTGACCGACATTAAAGGTATGAGAAAAAAGCTCTAATACACATACCAACTATGAAATATGTGTCTCCTCCACAATGGTCATGCCAAGTAAGCTAATGATCTGAAACAAAATAATAAATCTTCTTATATGAATTATAAAAGTCAATGAGAAAGCACAAGAAGGGACAAGCCAAAGGGGGAGAGCTTTTACAATAATCCATAAAGTTGAAACAACATAAACTTAAGAATAATTTATCAATCTTCTTTCAATCCTTAAAATAAATGTTGTTTTCAAACTCATTTCAATGTTTTTAGTTGAAAATAGTCATGTGAAAGGGTGCATCAAAGAAAAGTTAAAATCAAGTAAAAATCCATTTAAAAGGTGAAATAAGTTGTTTCATACCATAAGCATTGATACCTTCTTGTGAGGTATTGATACTTTCCTTCTAGAAAGCTCTTAAGACTATACATATCAATACTTTCTTGAGAAGTATTGATACTTCTACACATAATGTTTATTAGATTATAAATGTTGATATTTTCTTGAGAAATATCAATACTTTTCACCTAGAATGCTTCCTAGGGTATTATAATTGCCATGTATCAATACTTCTGCTTCAAGTATCAATTCTTCACTCATAAAAATCCCAATTTTGGGTAATTTCCAGCACTTATCAATGCTAAATCCCTTTTTATCTTTAAAGGCATCCATATAGTATAAGTTTTCACTACAATACAGTGTAATAGCATTCATATCACTCAACCACATCTATTCCTTATACATGACTTAGAGTTCAATCCATGCATCATTTTAGCTTATCTAATCATAGTAACTTATTACAATACATAAACCTCAAGGACAATAGTACAATCCCCACTGTTTAGGATAACCTTGAATAATAATACAATCCTCATTATCTAGGACATAAATTAAGTGGTACCTTCACCCCAACTCAAGGCTATACCACGCTCCACATCAAAACCCTCATACCTATGTGATTCTATGCCCCACATCAAGACCCTCATAATTATAAATCACATACAACATCATAAGCTTGTAATTATAATCCATACTAACTCGACATCATCAATACCCATATCAATTCATAATCATCATTGACATAGTCTTATTCTTACATCATGTTCATTTTATGATCATAAGAGTAGGTATTCATGCATCCACACTTGCAATATCATAAAAATGGGAATTTATTCATCCACACTCACATCATCATAAAAGCGGGCATTCATTCATCCATATTCACATTGGCATAAAGATGGGGAATTCATTTATCCATATGTGCATTCATTTAGCCATGCAATAATTCCATATCATCCATCCTATCTAGGATTCTTTAGAAGGAAAACATTTGAAAGTGCTTGTCTTTCATTGTTCAAAACTCCTGCATAGTATTTATATTTACATAGTATAAATACTTTTCAAAACCTTCTTTGAAAAACGTTAAAAACCCTTTTAAACCATTCATGTATATGGGATTCAACAAAAAAGTCATCCAAGGCACAAACTTAATAAATACACTCAACTTTGTATAGATCAAAGTACTTAAAACATCATGCCTACCCACCTTGATCAATTCATCGACTTAGAAAGCAATTGAAACACTAACTCTTCACTCTAATTAAATCCTTGGATCTTCAATAGGTCTTACAACAACCATACAATTGTGAACACAACTTAAACTACAAATCTAGAATTTTAAGGCTAGGCTATTACTAACCCAAACCAATCTTTGTCTAGTCTAAGTTTTCAGCTTGTTAAACTATTGTTCAATGACTAACTATTAACTTAAATACTTAAATCTACCTTCCTTTTACCTTAATGAGCTTGTAGCAAGAGAAAACCAAGTTGGGCACCAAAACTTTATAGAGAGAAACTTAAATCTATTGAAAAACTGAAAATTAGAGCTTGAAAATTAGAGTTTGAAGAGCTTAAAGGCTGAAAATATTACCTTTCTATTTTCAAAAAATCAAAACCAAGCTTGAATCCTTCAAAATTGGTGTTTTTAGTGAAAGAGACAACAAAGAGGATGACAGTTGAGAGAACAACAAAGAAAAGCAATCAAGGTCTGAGGGAGTTTGGAAAATACCCTAAAAAGAATTTTTTTTATGTGTAAAAATACTATTTTACTCCTTTTATTTTTATGTACACGACGACAAGTATTAATACTTTCAATTGAGGTATCCATACTTGTGTTTGAGTTTCAAGTATTGATACTTGTTCTTCATATATCGATACTTTTGAAAACACATATTTTGACTCTTTTCTCCTTACCACTTATCAAATCAACTTAGTACATAGGATTTTTCAAATCTAAAAGCTTAAGACATATGTTCAAAACAATAAATTTACACGCACAGCTACGAGTTAGCCATTCTATCATCTTTTGAAAAGTTGAAGTTTCACAAAGATTAATCACCAATGAAGTCATTTTATTTAAAAAATAATAATTAAATGGTATTTTTTGTTATCATAGTCACTACAAAAAATCTTGTTAATTCTAATGGAAAATTCTGTAGGAAACAGTCCAATTTCCATCGAAATTGACTTTTTCTGATAGATTTCCAATGGAAAAATCCATTAAAAATTTCATCACTAAAAGGATCACCAAAAAAGCTTGTTGTTGGAAATCTATCAAAAATATCCAATGGAAAATTTTCATCAGAAAATTTCATTGAAAAAATGATAATATTTTTTATTATTTTAATGTCAGTCCATCGAAAAAGACTAAAATTATTGACAAAATTTCCATCGAAAATACAATTCTAACAGAAATCCGTTGAAAATTACCAATGAAATTTTTCGTCAGTAATACGCTAATGACGAAATTTGTTGGAAATTACCAATAGAATTTTTGTTACCAATAGAATTTTTGTTACTAATTTAGTCATTCCCAATGGAATTCCATTGAAATTACCAATGAAATTTTTGTTGGTAATTTAGTCACTTCCAACTGAATTTTGTTAGAAATTACCAACAGAATTTTTGTTGGTAATTTGGTCATTCCCGACGGAATTCCATTGAAAATTACCAATGAAATTTTTGTTGGTACTTTAGTCGCTTCCAACAGAATTCCATTAGAAATTACTAATGGAATTTTTATTTGTAATCTAGTCATTTTAGACGGAATTCTGTTGACAATTATCAATGGAATTTTTATTAGTGATTTAGTCATTACCTATGAATTTCCATTGGAAATTATCAACAGAATTCCGTTGATTATTTAGTTATTACCAATGGATTTTTGTTGGAAATAACCAATGGAATTCTATTAATCATCATAATTAATTTGCGCAGCTCACAATTGACAAATCCAATATTCATAACAAAAGTACACATTAAAATATGAAATTAAAATCACATTGATGTAATTAAAAATCATCATAAACACAAAATATCTAAACATAAAATTAAATGTGCCATTGTATACTTATTAAAAAAATATCTAAATCCAAATGCAGAAAAAAAACATCATAAATTTCATGATCTTACTCTTCAATCTAAATTGGAAGTATCTATATGTCCTTATTTTGAAAGTGCATGACTCACAATCATTGCTTCCAAAACACTTCATAAATTCCTTCATACTATCCATCATTACTTCTTTCTTTTTTTACCATCATGTCATCATTATTTTTCTTACTTTCTTCAAGTATATCCTCACATATTTTGCTCAAGTTATAAATTCATCCCTCACGAATTCATCAGGAGTTAATCGACAATACATCCAAAATCGATCGATTTCTGTTGTGTAATCTGAATTGATTTTTCATATAAACAATGGCAAACAAAAAACAAATTTGTAATTAGTGCAAATTCATAAAGTTATAATTTTCTAAGAATTAATTTTTTGGTTTACCTTTGAAAATTATGAATAGTAATGTTCTTTTTATCAATATTTTATTTATGATAACTAACTAATTTGAAATTTATTTTTTTAATTACTATAATTAAATGGACATATAACAAGCCTCTGTATGTGTGTTTATATATAAACCAAGTTACCTTTAAAATATTTTAAAATGACAAAAACATTTGTTTCAATGATAAGTGTGTATAATATACTTTTGCTCAATAAATTTAATTTAAATGTCTCTTTCTTAAATAAGTGAATGTAGAATATACTTTTATTCAATAAATTTAATTTAAATTTCTCTTTCTTAAATAAGAGAATGTATGTGATCATTATGTTAATCTTCTTTTAGTTACATCCACGTCACATCCTTTCTTCATAATAAATCCACCAACAATCTTCAGCCAATCAGATTAATGCAAATACCCCAAGAAAACAAGAATGGAAAATCAAAAGAGAATGTAATTTAGTAAATTCAGCGATGAATCATCCTCAAAGTCCTATAGTATAAAAACTGGCTCCAAAAACTGTAATTTACTTTACTTTAAACTGCAATTTACATATGTAAGACTGAATCATGCAAATAACACTGACAAACTAAGACAAATTCGATACAATTATGTAAAGAAAATATCAATTAGTTCCATGGACAAAGTAAAATTGAAGGGCCATTCTTTACTTTTTCACTAGAACATTGTTGAAGGGTGGAAGAAAAAAGGCACACACAGAATCTTAAAACCAGGAATTCAGGATGATATTCATGTTTTGATGCACCAACAAGAGTTAGAAATGATGATGATATTGGAGAATAGCTGGACATGGTTGATTGGACTGACGAGATAAGTTCAATGACAAATTTCTATCAGAAATCCGTAAAAAATGCCGTTGAAAAATTGGACAATTGAAATTTTTTCTGTCAGAATAAGCAGGAATTCTACTAGTGAGTCTAGAATCGCTTAGGAAGTTTTCAGATCTTCAAGAAAATTGTTCCTTTGAAACCTACAGGAAAGCAAATTACATTGATGTCTTTCCAAGGACAACTTGGCAGAACTCTAATGCATGCATAGAAATCAAGTCAATGTAAGAATGCCATCATTGTTAAAAGTTTAATCTTAATCATCAAGGCTGGTCAGACAAAAATGATATCCATGGATATTGACACATGAAATATCACTTCATGCTGGATAAAATGAAAAAGAGCAGGACAGCTCAGTTATGGAAATCTCCAATATCCAGAGTATTAGAACATAAATTGCAGCAGGAAATACGGAATTGGTGAAACTTTTTAGAACAGCGCACCAAAACATGCTTCCAGCAACATATCATACTTACACAATGTACATATATAGTACTCACATTAACCTCAAAAGACAATTTAGTTAACATAAGAGCATCCTGAGTATCAATAACTTACAAACTTACATTTGAAGGGAAACCTGAACAAGATTCTCTGGAAACATAATTGCGGAGTGACATACGATAAACACCAAAAATGAGAGATTAAACTAGAAAAAATGCAAAAAGAGTGTGTAATGCTTCTATCTTCTAAAGTCTAATCATAAAAAATATTCCACATAGCTACCTCCAAATGATCTCTTCTCGTACAACATCAACAGGCAGCAATTTCAACTCCAAAAAGCCCTTCTCTGGTGATTACAAACTCACAAGATGATTCAGGCAAATGGGGCGCGAAAACAACATGAAGTTTTCTCCTTGTTTGCTGACACACAAAACCACCACTTTCCCCGATTAATTTCCCGTTCTCTTCACTATTAGCCTCTTCATGTCTCGATAAGAACAACCTTGAATTAACACAATTAGCCCAAGCTAACCCCAATGCAGGACAAACCCGCCTACCTGACGTATATAAAGATCCTAAATTCCCAATCCTCAACCCATTTATTCCTTCATTAGGTCCCACCATATCAACCACCTGATTCGTCAACAAAACCGCTAAATTAAACCTCCTCGCTAATGCCTTTAACATCGAAGATATCTTAAAGAACAAGGACGATCTCCTCTTAAGCTCAACTGGGGTGTTGTCAAACTCGGACCTAAACAAAGCAGCGATTGAATCAATCACAACGAGCCGAACAGGCAACTGGGCTTTCGAACTTTCAATGAAAGACTCTGTTTTAGACATTATATCGAGCAGTTCATCAGCAGAGTGTACACTTTGGACATATATTCCATCACACGGGTTGTCATTAGAGGGTAAATGGCGGGCGTTTGAGGAGCGAAATGAAAGGGAGAGTTGGTGAAGGCGGCGAAAGGGGAATGGGAATTCCGTGTGGAGATAGAGAGCGGAGGCGGAGAGACCACCATGGGAAACTGGGAGTTGGGCACGGAGTGATAGTTGGAGGCAGATTTGCGTCTTGCCGGAACCACTCTCTGCGACGATCTCGGTTATCGAGTCACAAGGGATGCCGCCGTGGAGGAAGCGGTCAAGGATTGGGCAGCCTGTCGTGCATTTTTGGGTGGTTACTTGCAGGAGGTTTTGCGGTATCATGTTTCCTGAGCGTTTTTGTTACTTTGATTTGAGCGGTAGAAGTTTGCCTTTTTGAATAATGGATTGAGCAAAATGGCGCCAAAGGGCTTCTTTTAAGTAAATTTTGCCCTTGTCTTTTCATTGAATCAAAGGCATTGCATTTTGAATAATGCTTAAATAGTAAAAAAAAAAAAAACTCATGATGGATGATGTGTCACCTTTTATTGTATTTAAATGAATCTTTAAATTTTGATACATAGAAAATTTAAAAAGTTCGATAACAATATATAAGATTATAATCTTTGAGTTTATATTTAATGCAGTAATTGTGTATGTCAACCACAAAATGACACATCACTAATAAGTAAAATAAAATTTTTTAAATCATTAAAATAAATATCAATAGTTTATAATATTTAATTACATAAAAAATAAAATTATTTTTCTTTGTCTCAAACCCTTTTACTGTTCTTCATTTTCTTTTTTGTTCTTATAGTGTGACAAAATCACTACCAACAAAACAAGCATCCAGGCATTTTTGGCCCTCTTTTGCAATTATGTGCCTGTAAAGAAAACCATCACCATACCAATACAATCTTATCATTTTTCGTTAGTTCTTGTTCTTCCCTTTATGTCAAAGTACCCGTAAGTCTCTATATTATAATGTTTTAATCAATTTAATTCGTCTACTTTAAAATTAGTAAATTTAATCCTTATACTTTAACATTTTGTACAATCAAATCCTTATGCTTAATTTTGTCTAAATTGACCATTAATCGTATTAATATAACTTTGACATATTAGACAATGCAAAAGTGGTGCTAACGTGTCAAATCCAATATTTTTTTAATTACGTCAGTTTGTTTGTGTCATGCTATTAGAATCAAATAAAATTGTAAATTATAAAAATTAAATTGAACAAAACTCTATAGTATAAGGACAATTGCATAAAATTTTATAATACAAAAACTAAATTGAATAAAGTTCTATCGTATATGGACTAAATTGAGTACTTTTACTATTTTTATTTAGCATTACATTACAATTTTGTTTAATTTAACCCCTAAACGTGACATAAAAAAATTGATGCTAGACCCAAAAGTTTTTTTCCCATCTAACACGTAAATGCTACGTAGCATCGTCTAACATGTTAATACCACATCAACTCCACTAACGGTCAATTTAGACAAAACTAGATAGAGGGACTCGATTATATAAAATCTCAAAATACAAGAACTCAATTAATTAGTTTTGTAGTAGAGAGATTAAATTGACAAAAATCTTATAGTACAGAGACCTATGGAGTACTTTGATCATAACTAAATTACAAAACCAACTATTTCAAACAAGTTTGAGCAAAAAAAGCTATTTCAAAAAATATGAATATAATTGCTAGTAGAGGTGAGTAATTGGACAATTTAATCGATTTGGTCTATCATACTTAAAGATCAAATAGATAAAATATTTTTAAAAAATCGATCAAAATCAATCAAACCTAAAAAAAGACCAAGCCGATCAAACATCAAACTGATTTGATTGATTCGATTTTGGACCAATGAATCAAAATATTATTATTTTTTTTCTCAAAATATAATATTAAAATTTATAAATTTCATCCATAATTATAAAATATACAAATACTTTAAACATAAAAATACATAACATTTGTTCTTTCACTCACATAATTATATCTTTTTATATAAACCATCAAATTAACATTCAAAATTAACATAAAGAAGAGTTAAAGATAATAAAATTAATATCCATAAAATAAAATTATCTAACATAAAACCTTTAACCATTGCAAATTATTAACTTGTTGAGGGAGTTTAGGATTTAGGTTTAGATTTTGGAAAAAAAAAAAAGAGAGGAAAGTGTAAAGGTGACTAGGTGAGGAAAAACGAAAGAGTAAAGTATGGGTGGTTAAAAAATAAAAATAAAGAAGTGAAAAAAAAATTAAAAATTGAAGCTATTAAATATATATTATATTTTATATAAAGTTAAAATTAATATATATAAAAATATTATATATATTAATAAGATAAAAAATTAGTTTGGTTCAAAAATTTTAAAATCGAGAACTAATCAAATAAATTAATTAGATTAAACATATTTAATCAATTGACTTAATGAATGAATTAGATCAAATTATTTTATTCAAATTATATTTAATTTGAATAAATAAATGATATGATCTAATTTACTCAACTCTATATACTTAAAAAGAAAATAACTTGACTATTTAAAGAAAAAAAAACCCAAGTTATTTACTTTTAGATACCGTCACAACAAAAGTTGTTTTTTTTTTTCAAAGGTCATGTTCGTTGTTTCATAAAAAAAGTGTTACACTGAGTCAAGTTTTTAGCTTGAGCGTAGGCAAGGGACCTGAGATCAGCCAACAACACAGAAGAATTTACAACTCTTCCCTCCTCCATTGTATCAGATCTTCGCTGTCCCTTACTCACATCAACTTTCCCCCGTATTTACAGCACAGGGAGAGATAAGAGGGTTAGGGTTGTAGAATGTTGACAGAGTAGAGAAGAAAGGACACCCAGAATGGGAAGAAAAAAATAATTAATTAAGAGCCAAAAGAGAGGATAATGACAATAATGTAGAAAAAGAAAGAAGAAACAAAAAAAAAAACAAAATCAATCTTGCACAATAAATTAAAAGAGATTCACGATTAAATATTTAGAGAAAAAGAAATATAATTTTATTTTTATACGTAATTAAATATTATAAATTATGAATGTTTATTTTTAAAGACCTAAACCCTGATAATGTATAACTAATTTTATAAACTATCGGTGCATCAAATCCAGTATAAATTCTTAATTTATTATTGCTTTGGAATCGCACTCTAATCAAATGAATATAACGTCGAAATGGGCCTTTTACATTCGCTGAGAAGGACATAGACTTGTAAACTCCTCTTCTTCACAAGCGGAATCCAAAGAGTAAGCTGCAAGCATGGTGGAACATAGAAAGAAGCCCAATGTGAGTCGACGGTCAATCGTAATGGGCCCATCACACCAACAACAAAATTGAAACAAAACAAACCAAATAGTTCGCCTTCCGGAAGCCCCAACCGACGCCCTTCTCCGCTCTGTCTCCCTCTCAGAGCTCATTTCTTTCTGCGAGCGAAGCAAATCACTGAATCCCACTCCAAAATACACTCCTGCTTTGTCCTCATTTCCGCCCAATTCCCCCGTAGATCCACCCAAATTCAACGCCGTAATTCCATAACCCCGGATCAGCCCTAGCAGATCTCACAAGATCAAACAACTAAACAAATGTCGTGCTTGGCACTTTCTCTCCAACCAGCCAACGGATCCGACATCCTTCTCCAAACCCGAGAATGGTTTCCGCCAGCCCGTGCCCTAATTGCCCTCCATGCCTTCCGCCAAACCCGTTTTGCCTTCTCCAACAAAACCCCTGCGTCCGCTGCCGCTTCCACCTCCGCCCCGTCATCGTCCTCCACCTTCGAATCTGATACTGCCACCGAATCCATCGGCGACGACCCCCTTGCTGCCTCCAGCGGCCAATTAATAGTTGGCGTTGAAAGTAAGTATCGCGTCGTTTACCGCCTTGTGAACTCCATTTACGTCCTCGGAATCACTACCGCCGATCATGACAATTTGATCAACGTCTTCGAGTGCATCCACATCGTTAATCAAGCCGTTAGCGTCATTGTAACCGCCTGCCGCGGCGTGGACGTCACCCCCGAAAAACTCGCCCGCAAATATGCCGAGGTTTACATGGCACTCGACATTGTCCTGCGTGGAGTCAGCAACATCCGTCTCGCCGCCATGCTTTCCTCTATGCACGGCGACGGGATCGCCAAGATGGTCCATTCCGCACTCGACACCGAAGCCAAGATCCGTGGTGCTGACACGTGGCTTAACGTGGAAGCCCATTCGGTCGAACACCAATCCAACGTTGAAGCCTTTTCCAGTGCGAATTTCGAATTGCCACCGGAAACCCTAGCGGCGGGGGATCGGATAGCTTCAACGCTCGTACCTCAGAGTACAAGTGAGCAAGACGAGAAAATGATTAAAGAAGAGCAATCAGAAGCCGTAAAGGATCCGTTCGCAGCGAGTGAATCCATAAATAAGCAAGAAGAGTTAGTTGGAGGGTTTAAGAAGACGAAGGATCCATCAGCTACTGATTTAACGGTGGCGTTGGCGGGGTTAGAGGTGACGACATTGCCTCCAGCTGAAGCAACCCAATCTACGGATATTAGTGTTGAAGGGTTTGAAGGGAAGTATGGAGGTATTGAGTTTGGCAATGAACAGGCTACCCTTGGAGAAGCTTTTGAAGGGTTTAGTGATGCTTGGGGTGGAGGATTGGATGCTTCCGAGTTTTTGGAATATAAAAAGGTTAAGAAACAGGAAGGACTTAGTGGGCTTGAACTTTTGCAAACTGGGGATAGTGCTGCTCCTCCAACTGCAGCTGTGGCTGGTGCTGATGGAGGAAAGTCTCTTGAGGATGTTTTGGTGAAGAAGACTGAGATGAAAGGTCCTGAAATGTATATTTCAGAGGAGATTAGTGCAGAGTTTAGGGAATCATTGCTTGCAAGAGTTGGATTAATGGGTGTGGTTTACTTGAGAACTATGCCTCCTAAAAATTCTGGTGATAGGGATACTGAGTTTTCATTTCGTGTTGAAGGTACAAGTTCGGTTAAGAGGTTTGTTATGCAGAGTTCACGGGTTAGTAGCCTAGGTAATGGAATGTTTCATGTGAGAACTGCCCCATCTGAGGAGCCTATACCGATTTTGAAGTATAGTTTGTTACCTAGGTTGACACCATTGCCTTTGAGAGTTAGGTTGATTAAGCGTCAAAGTGGGACTTTACTTTCAGTAATGATACAGTATATTTCAAGCCCGGAGTTACTAGCACCATTGAATGATGTAACCTTTGTTCTGAAATTGCCAGTTGATCCAACATTGTTAAAGGTTTCACCTAAAGCTGTGTTGAGCAGATCAGAGAGAGAATTGAAGTGGCATGTGCCAGAGATTCCACTGAAGGGTACTCCTGGCAAGTTAAGAGCGAGGATGCCTGTGGATTCTAGTGAAGATGACGAAGAACTAGAAGTTGTTGGTTATGTAAAATTTTCAGTGCAAGGAGCTACTTCATTGTCTGGGGTCTGTCTGCGGCCTGCTTCTGAGGGTAAGACAGATTTTTATGAGGTGAATCATCGGTATGAGAGTGGGGTTTATATGTGCAATTGAACTGTGATAAGGTAATTATTTCCATACAAAATTGTTGTGTTTTTCTAATCTTCCCTGTTCTTTTTGAGGAGAGATGTGATTTGGTCACTTTTGTAGAATTCTTGGATATTGATCTTGTAATCTAGATTGACTTTTGTAAGAGCTTGTGTCTTCCTGTTGTTTACTATTGATTTTCACTGGCGGCATGTTAATTTTTTTTGTCCTTTATTGTTGTGTCTGTTTAGACTTTGCATTCTTTTGTGGAGTACATTTTATTCTTGTGAAACTGTGACCATGCAAGCATGATTGCTCATTTCTATATTTTTAGAAAGAAAAGGACTTCTAAAGAAGTGATTTTTTGTTTCTGGAATGCTGGTTCTATCGTTAATTGTGGTACCTCTTCTTTGTACCATAGAACTTTCTACATCAAGTTAAATTGTGCTAAATATAAGTAGGTCTGGATTGTTGAAAGCTAGAATTACAATGCAGTCAAGTTAGGCTACATGTAAACTTTTCTCTATAATAATATAATGAGAATATGAGGCATGAGCCTTTTTTTTTAAATAATTAATAAGTTATGAACCTGACTGATGCAATTGAGACCCCTTAGATTAAGGGGAGATGATTTAAAAAATTATTCCTTCTTTGGAGACTCTAAATCCCCAGCTTCTACATTTTTTAGTATTTCCTGTTCATTTGATGAGAAATGAGATCGCAATAGCATTATTTTCTTCTTCGTTCTTCTGATAGCTTGCTAACTGTTTAACAACCCTAAAAGGCAAGCGTAGAGAGGGAGCTGAAAAGGGTATAAGTAAAAGAAGTGACTCTAGATGGTTCTTATCACGTTTGTGGTGTCCATTCTCCTTTGGATAATAAGTTTGTGGTCAGAGTGTCCTGTGTCATAGTCTGTTTGAACTGGTGCATGACGTGACTTGTTTAAATTCTGCTTTTATTAAATGTCATGAGAGATGGATGATAACTGATTGTTGATATCCAGTGCTTGTACTATTATCTGGTGAAGGAAGTTCTAGCAAACTGCAATGGAACAAAAATGTCCCTTGATTGTAATGTCTGGTGATATTTGTTAGGTAGTTGGCCTGACTGGTCACTTGGCAAAGTATGGATGGATTTTCTTTTTTTTTTTTTTTTTTTGGGTACTAGTGTGGCTGGACTGTTGGTCAAATATAACAAACATTAGGTTTTCAGATCCCACTTTAAGGGCATTTTGCATTTTGACGTTAGCTCTAAAATGGTGAAGTACTTAACTTTTCTCTGAGGCCAGAACTTTTATTGTATTAGATGGTGGCTGCAGACTGCACCTGTCTGAAATTTCTGTTCATTTCCTTTATAGTTTGTTCTTTAAAATTTCATGAGTAAATTTGATAGCTTGGAATATTCTAAAATTTGAACTGCATAAAGTGTACTTTCCTCTGAAAATGTTATCATGAAGATTTCTGGGTATTTGAAATTGTGATTAGCAGCTAGGTCTTATAAGTGCAAACTGTTAGTCCTGATTTATGTAGGTCAGCAAGTATTTGTTATGACTGTCATCCTTTAGACTCTTGAGTTAGAGAACATGTATTCATTTGCGTGATCCTTAACTTTCTGCATCTTTGAGGATTCTTGGCCTGGATTCTGGAATGTTGAAGAAACAAGTTCAAGTCCATTTAAATAATCTGAAGTTTGATCTTTTGGATGAATGGTGAATCTTGGATGTTCATCAAAAGGTCATTCAATTCAGTGCTGCCTAGCCCTATAGCTACAAACGACTTGCCATATTTATCATTACTTTAGAAAAAAGTAAACCTGCCTGCATATATTTATTTCTTTGCAACCCTGTTGTTGGAATTGTGCTTATAATAGCTGAACTTTGTGATTAACTGACTTTTCTATGAAGGGAGCATTATAAGTGAGGTGATGACTGTTGAGTGCCCAGCCAGTGACATTGGAAAATAAGTCTGATGTCCTTAATGCCACCTTCTCTTCTCCTACTTCTCCCATACTCCTATAGTTTGGTAAGTTTGTGGTGAGGATGGTAGAGCTGGGAATTGGCAGTTATAAAGGTGATTGTTTTCTTTAGTTAATTGGAATAGCCAGATATATGAAATTGAGTTCCTCGGTTTCTCTCATGGGGAGACATGAGAGAAGTTTTAGGTGCGTTTTCAAGCGTGCCATATTGCAAAATTTTAGTTCAGCGGGCATGCATTCATTTTTCTTCTATTTTCTCGCGGTATTGGGCTTCCAATATGATCAGTACAGATACATGATGGGTTGGGAGATACGCCTCGTGAAGTATTGGAAAGATTTAAAAATATTTCCAATACAGATTTATTATTAATTATTATTAAATAAAAAAATTAAATAATAACAACAATAATAATACTGAATTTAGAAAGACATAAAAATAAAAAAATAAGAAACCAAATCAAAACTATTTCTTAAAAATTTAAAATTGTACAAATTTCTTATTTTTCCTTTCTTTTATTGTAAACATTTTTTTTATTAAAAAAAGATATGAACTGACAATAAATTAAAAATAATATATTTAATTAAACAGTTTAGTCTTAAGAGATAAGAGGTCTTACAACGTTGACAATGCAGTGAAAAAGCAAATAACGAAAACGTAAATCGTAATGTGTTAAATATTAGATTTTTTTTAAAATTTGATCATTTATAATATTTCACATATGAATTAAAATTTATTCTTATTTTTGTGTTAAAAATAACTATAAATATATTTAAAAATAATGAAAAATTAATTTAAAAAAAAGACAATCTCCACATAACGAGAGTCAAAATTTAGAAATTTGTGGTTATATTCAAGTTTTATGAAGAACCATAAAATTCTAATAAAATTTTTAACATAGTTTGAAGAGTATCGCTTAGGATCAATAAATACTACGAAAAACATAATCAAATAGCCAATAACTAAAGGAGATATTGAATCTCAACATCCTCTTCTAACAGAAGTTCAATATTCTTACAAAAATATAAGAATAAGAGCAACTCTTTAAAAGATGACGTCTAGACTTAGGAGAACAAGTTTCCTCAAAAGACAAAAAATGATAGTTGAACAAAACAACTATATAAATCTAAATCTCCATACCATTGCAAAACAATTGGAAAATATAAAAACACTAGTTGAAAGCCAATTGAAATTCACTCAAACACAGACAATAAATACATAAGTAAGTAAGGCCAAAGAACCAAATTTCAAACCTTTTGAAATTACAAAAAAAAAAAAAATTCACCAATCGTATCAAAATCAATTTTTGAGAGAAGTTCAAAATAAAATTGATGCCCTAAAAAGCCAAATTTTAAGAATGATAGCCCTTGATACTCCTCTACAATAAAGCCATTCAATAAACATAATAAACCAACAAACAAATTTAGAAGGCACTAAAGACCAATAGATTAACAAAATGGTTTAGAAGGAACTAAAAGTACCTTTACTATCTTAAAATCATAGCACCTAATTTGAACATAAATGGATAACCCACTTTTCAAAATAAGTATAAAGCCAACACAATTTATTAATGAAATATGGATGGAATATCTGAATACAACATCCTCAATACTTTTCAACAAATGACAATAGTATCAAACGTATATAAAACCCAAAATCAAATAGGCCAAATTACGGAACATTCAATAGCAAACCTTTTAGTTGCTAATTTCACTGGACAACTTAAACGATAGTATGACAATTATCTTACTACAAAACAATAACAAGAAACATTAAAAGCTATAAAAAAAAGATGATGAAGGAAATAACATCCTAGATGAACAAGGAAGAGAAATCTAAGATACTGTTGCAACTCTTATCTTCTCAATCTCAAAATACTTTCTAAGTGACCCTTCATACCTTAAAGATAGAAACTCAAAATTATTGTCAAATTTAAAATACAATAAATTAATAGATTTTAAATAATATAAAGACATATTTATGATCAAAGTAATGCAAAGATTCGATAATCAACAGCCTTTTTGAAAAGAAAAATTTCAAGAGGGACTTCCTACATTATTAGGAGAAAAAGTTAGAAACCAAATAAGAGACACTTATAAAGAAATAATTCCTTATAAAAATCTTACATATAGATCAATCAAATTCTACAAGAATATTACGATTTCATAGAAAACCATAAGATTCTAATAAAATTCTTTACATAGTTTGAAGAATATTACTTAGGATCAATAAACACTATGAAAAATATTGTCCAATGGCAAACAACTAGAGGATAAACTGAATCTTAACATCCTTCTTCGATAGAAGTTCAATATTCTCACAAAATATAGAAATAAGAGCAACTCCTTTAAGGATGAGGTTCTCAAACTTAGGAGAACAAGTTTCCTCAAAAGATATAAAAATGATAGTTGAACAAAACAACTATACAAATCTAAATCTCCATACCTTTACAAAACAATTGAAAAATATGAAAACATTTGTTGAAAACCAATTAAAATTCACTCAAACACGCCAAAAATAAGTAAGGCCAAAGAACCAATTTTCAAACCTTTTGAAATTCTAAAAAAATTTCACTAATCGCATCAAAATCAATTTTTGAGAGAAATTCAAAATAGAATTGATGCCCTAGAAAGCCAAACTTCATGAATGATTGCCCCTAATACTCCTTTATAGCAAAGTCATTCAATAAACATGATAAACCAATAAACAGATTCAGAAGACACTAATGACCAACAGATTAACAAAGTGGTTTGGAAGGAACCAAAAAAGCTTTACTATCCTAAAATCATAGCACATGATATGAAAATAAAAGAATAACTCACTTTCCAAAATAAGTATAATGCCAACACAATTTATGAATGGAATATTGATAGAATGTTTGAATACAACATCTGCAATACCTTTCAACAAATGACACTAATATCAAACGTATATAAAACTTACAATCAAACGAGTCAAATTATGGATCATTCAATAGCAAACCTTTTAGTTGCCGGTTTTACTGGACAACTTAAAGGATGATGGGACAATTATCTTACCACAAAGCAACAACAAGAAATATTAAAAGCTATAAACAAAGATGAAGGAAATAACATCCTAGATGAACAAGGAGAGAAACAAAATGTTGTTACAACCCTCATTTTCTCAATTTCAAAATACTTTCTAGGTGACCCTTTACACCTTAAAGATAGAAACTCATAATTATTTTTAAATTTAAATTATAAAAAATTAACAAATTCTAAATGG